TTTCAGGGTAAATAATTGTGCATATTAATTACCTAATTTGCATAATTAATGTTCAGCTTTTCTACTGATATCTAAAGTACTAATCATCACATTTCAATGAATCTAGAATTATGCAGAGACCCAATTAGTTTTTGGTAAATATTTGTGCATATTAATCACCTAATTTGCATAATTAACCAATTTCCAACTTTCACACTGATATCTCAGGTACTAATCATCACATATCAATGAATGTTTATACATGGATGCTGTAGGACAATAGACAGACCTGGATAATTGTGGGTTAAAATCTGTACATATTAATTACCCAATTTGCATAATTAACCAATTTTAAGCTTTCACACTGATATCTAAAGTACTAATTTCCATTTTAATGAAACTTAGTACAAAGATGCTCTAGGACAATGTACAAACCTAATTAGTTTGGGGTAAAACTCTGTTCATATTATTTCCCTAATTAGCATAATAATTCATAATTTTTTGGTTCTAATCACATTTCAATTAAACTTGGTAAATAGAGTTTTTGTTACATTGCGCAGACCTCATTAGTTTTACAATCAAATCTGTTCTGATTTGCATAATTAGTTTTCAGCTAAGTAATTTCAAATTATATTTAATGTGTCTCCAATACTCTCAGCACATGGGAGTTCTTTCTAAGCTTTCTTTGATTTCTTTTTCAGTTATACTTTTATTTATTGTTGTTGTATTTTAAATTTATATTTTCTGTATCTTTTAATCTTTATTGTATGTTAGTCCAGATCTCAATGGAGATAGGTTGACAATAAAGTTATTATTACACAATTGAAACAGAACGTTGATGCCATGTTGTGATTACACAACGCTGTGCCATACCTTAACAATAATAGTAATAATTTTATTCAACACGAAAATCTACTACAGAGAAACAGAAATAATACTTCACGCAACTAATATCACAAATAGCACATTATAGAATGAGGAAAAACATGATAAGCTAATGTTATTGTTTAGGACAAAGCAAAACTGAAATACAGTTCACTCCACCAAATCATTGAATAAATGTAGCTAAGAATGGAAGAAGAAGAAATAGAACATGATCAGCAGTGTAGACCATCTAAGCAGCTGCCGTTCAACCCAACAATGGTGCCATACCTGATGACCATTTGCAAACCAACCCAAAAGTGAACTAACTTCACTCATGGAAGGGCTCCAGCACATTAGCTAGTGAAAGGTACAGGGTAAACTTTATGACAAATCAACTGTATCAATGTCACTGGTTCAAATACCAAGATTGATTCCTCACAGGTGGTCTTTATCCTCTGTACCCCACCATCACAGTAGCATAAGCAGGGCATCTTCTCCACCTCCATAAAGTCTTAGGTAGATCACCGGGTATAGCTAATGACAAACGCCTGTCTTTGCATTAATTTGCTCCTATGGAAATAAATCTAGCACATTCTCAATGACGTGTTGAAATCGTTTTACAAGAAAGCTGACTTCAAAGCAACCCCCACTTTAGTCACTTAAGCAGTGCTATAGATTCCTCCCTCTGCTAGCCCTAGCATATACCCGGTAGGCAGTATATGATGCAGTAAAATCCACTCTTACAGTAATTTTTAACAAGTGTCACAGTGCTGAACTCCTGTACATTTAGAGAACCTCAAGTTGTGCGAAAAGCAGATGCCCATTTCTATTCCTTCACTTAAACTCTGTTGGGTGAGCTGATTGCTGTAGTGTAAACTGTTATGCAATAATATTTGAGAAGCTCAACACGATTAATCACATGTTGTGATTTTCATTTTAAAACGAATACAAACAAAAAATGCTTTACAGGCCTGGGATTTGTGGTACTGCATCTAATAATGCAGGAAAATGCATCATTCATGGCTGTAAGCTTTAATTTTTATCTAATTTACCAACATGCAAAACAAAGACTAAATATCATGGATACAGAGCTTACAACATATCCCATAATGCAGTGGTATGATTTTACATAAAAACTGTATAAAAGTATAAAACGGCATCACATGCAAGAGTAGGTGCATGTTGGTGTTACAAATTACTGTAGAATGCTTTATTTTCGCTTGGAATTTATTTTCGCTATTTTCGCTGAAAGGATGATTCCGTGAAAATATAATCCAGCGAATATACTTTTTTTCCTTTATTTCCCATTAAACACATCAAAAATCAGTGAAAATAAATTCCATACAAAACGCCCAAAAAGCCTTTTTAGCGAAAATTAATTCCAGCGAAAATAAAGTATTCCACAGTATGTGAATACGCACACAATGAAACATTGCATCTGGTGACCATGTGGCACACTTTTATTGCACATTCAATCTGTAGATGATATTTAATAAGTAAAAGACATGGCCTTAGAATATTGTAGCGTGGTAACTGTGGATGTTGAGAGTTTAATTCACATGCAAGTTGAGTTGGAATTCAAGATGGCACCACGCATGACTCAATGTCTCAAAACGAGTATCAAGAGTTAAAATATGGTTGATCCAAAAATGGTTTGCTTTTATTATTGAAAACAATTTCTGAATATGTTTTGCCATGAATTTGATGTCTCACTTGGCATATTTCTTTTAGACAACAAATGACACTGCTTCACCATTTTACAAACTTTTAGGGTATTTTTATTTCTTCCACATTCTTCTCAATATATATACTCCTGTATATATACTCATGTTTTCTAAAAAGCTTGTTTTGTGAAGGCTGCTCTTTCTGTGTTCACTATTAAAACTATACAATGTATATGAAATATGAAAGTCTTTATTCCAAACAAATCTGTACATGTACAGTTTTTCACGTAAACTTTGATTAGAAAAACAGGGACAGTCCATTTTGGCTAAAATCAATGCAGATGCTAAACATGCTAAACTGAGTTGTTACTAGCTTTGGGATTTGTTGGGAATTGTCGTTTTATATTTATAAAATGCATTTTTAAATTTAATTGTGGAAATAACCCGCGTTTGCTCTATGCTCCAATGTTTTTTTTTATATATTTTAAAGTAATTTTTCAACAAAGGAATTCAACTGATCTTCTTCTTGAAGCCCTATAAACTCATCAACTTTTTCTCCCTGCTTCACAGCAATTACCATTGGAACAGCAGACACGCCATATTCCATGGCGAGGTCTGTGTTAGTATCCACGTCCACTTTAGCGAGTTGAACCTTGCCATTTTGTGCTGCAATGACCTTTTCTAATCGAGGCCCCAAGATCTTGCATGGACCACACCATCTGAAAGAAATATTAAGAAATAAGAATTATCAGCAGTATGCCTCAGTATGCCTTTGACTACTGTAGAATACTTTATTTTCGCTTGGAATTTATTTTCGCTATTTTCACTGAAGGAATGATTCCGTGAAAATAAAATCCAGCGAATATACCTTTTTTCTTATATTTCACATTAAACTCATCAAAAATCAGTGAAAATAAATTCCGTACAAAACTTCCAAAAAGCCTTTCAGCGAAAATTAATTCCAGCGAAAATAAAGTATTCCACAGTATATATATATTGGGTGTATGCATAAAGTTTGCAAATTTTATTCCCGCATAGCAATTCTAAGGAGTCCTCAAATCTCACACAGTGTTTGCAACTATACAAAAATTTATACATAATTTGTTGCTTATTGTCCCAGTCAATGCAGCATTTCGCGAATTGCGATAGGTAATTCACATAAGAACCAGACCGTTCCCAAATTACTGAGAACACAAAATATTTATATCAGCAGAAATGAGTGATTACCACTAGTGGCTGAGATTGATGCAAAACTCTACGCTTATCACAAGTATATGCTGACATCAACCTAAGAGAAAATATTCTTGGATATTATATTTAAATTTTTTTGTATCATATGCATATTTCCACTGTACAACATAGTGAAACAGTGGATTTTTGACGATGACTATTGCTGAAATAACACTGAATACAAATATATCATTGCCTGCACTTTGAATACTACTCTTGGTGATGCCACAGTATTCTATTCCACGTAAATGTGTACACTGTATGACAATTCTAATTTGTAATACACAGGTTATGCATGTCCAGATTCAGAATCAACTTACGTTGCATGAAAATCAACCACAGTAGGTTTATTGCTTTTTATAACACGTTCCATGAAATCATCACTGTCCTGCACATTGAATGACGTCCTATGTGGATTGCCGGTGTGGATGAAAGCACATCTGGAAGCTGCTGGAACATTTCTGAGATTGAATGCATGAAATATAATGTTAGTTAGTTACCAAGCTGGGTGTGGAAAATATTTCTGCTCTGCTGTGGAGAACTTGAATATACATCATATTTTTAAGAATAAAGTTTACATGTTGGACGAGAACAGTATTTGCTTTCTTAGAAGTGAACATGAAAAAAAGTTCATGTTAAAAGGGTAATTGTTCAGTATGGTTTCCATAAAATCATACACATTTTTCATGTGCAACTCAATATTTTGAGCAACATTTTGTAAATGTAAATTTTTTTTTATAATTTCTTTGGAATTAAATTACATGCATATGAACATAATTTTTTAATCACATTTTTTGAAAAAATACAGAAAGTTGACTTTCAAATACAGTCAAACCTGTGTTCATAGTCTTTATAGCCAGGTGGTCTGTATATGCATGGATGGATTATTTTTTTATGGATTACCAACTTGTACATTTAGATAATGTTTGTCGAGAAAATAACAAGATGAAACTGTTATGAAAGACTTCCTAATGTCCCCCCACCACCTATCCGAACTTTAACCCTAATATGCTCCAGACCCCCAATTCAGTTGTATATGTGCCTGTAGATAACTATAGGTGTCATAAAGAGGGGTATATGCAATTAATTTGAGGGGCAAGAGTGGGTAGGGGGTTATGATTAGAAGTGGATATACATTGAAAAGTCTTTCCCACTGTTATTTAAGTTGTTAAAACCAAATAAGCTTGAAATCAAAATGTGTTTTTTATTATTTTGATCTCTGAACAAAGACAAATCTGCAAAAATAATGCTGAAAGTGTGGTCACATTAGACAGGTGATCTTTATACACAGGTTGCATACATTATGACTCGGGAACGCCTAAAAGTTATCACTATATTATATAGAGGTGATCACTATCTCAGGTTTGACTGTACAGCCGCACATGATGAGTGGAGATATGGTACAACATTTTGTGGAAATCACAAAGATGTCGTTTCCATAGAAACAAAAGCTCTGTGATCAGCTGAGAAGCACTACTTTTCTTTTCGATGTCATGTGCTCACTGTGTTTTTTGTCAGGGAAATAAACTCTAACTATTTGAACAATGCGACTCAACAGTGATTTTAAAATCCAGCACAAGTAATATATGGTACACCGATAACAAATCACAAGGAAAGAATTGAGTGGACTATACCTCTGAATGAGATACGAAGACTGTAGATTTCTGATGGACTGTAGAATAGAAGGCGAAGCAATTCTTCTTAAACTGAGCAGCATCATGGTAACCTTATTCCAAGAACTGAATTTATAATATAAAGACTGAAATAAAATAAATATATTTTGATAAAATCCACCTCTTAGGATGATTGGGGGATGGAAATCAGTCAAGATGTCATGTCCTATTGCATCCAACATTGATGATGAATAGTGTACACTACAAGGGGTCAAACATTTGAAATTATAAAGGGTGTGAGAAGAGTGTGGTCGAGGCAAAATTTGTTTTCATGTTGTTTATCTATGTTTTCATTTTTCTTTGCATGCTATTTTTTTTTCTCTGTGTCTGCCATGCAGGTTTTATTTTAAAACTGTCATAAAATTGTGCTCTTATTTTGATTTTATCTGAAAATTGTGGCAAAAAACTTGTGTTTTCCACATTTTTATGTGATGAGATTACTGTGGGTTTTTTTTTATGGACCATAAACCATTTATAATCAGGGTCTCAGTTGTTTTGGAGATAATTGTTAATGTTTCATATTGGCAGAGAATTATATACCAGTATCTTTGGTCCACTATATTGACAGATAATGGAAAGTATAAACTGTTGAACTTGTTTACATTTTGTGCTTATGAACATGCGCAGATTACAAACTAGTACAGATCCGGACCCACTAAACACAGCCCGGGGCCTCCCGCGGCCTCCCGGGGCCTCCCGGGACGTACATTCCGGTCTAAAAGTTGCCTGTGGGTGCTGGAGTGGGTTAGAACACAAATACACTGTGTGTGGCCAAAAAAAAAAATATAAAAAAAAATAAAAAAAAAAAATAACCGAAGCCTAGGGACAACAGTAATGGTACACAAACACATATTTTACTTACGCAATTCAGCAGGAAAGATTTCGTTGGTGTGATTATCTCGTCGTAATTAAAAACAAAAACAGTCGAAGTATTAGGACGGCATTTTATGTTTTCCACATTTTTATGTGATGAGATTACTGTGGTTTTTTTTTTATGACCCTACAGATCAGTGAGTGACATTTATTATCAGATGTTCCCATATGCCTGCAATGATGGTAAACATGTAACGACTCCCCCCCAAAGTTGGACGAAAGCCCGAGTGCCGAAACGGTCATGTCTCTGTGGATACATCAAGATAAAATCGTCTCCATCTCCAACTTAAGTTCTCTTTGGAATTGCTTTTTTTCTTTTTTTGTCATTTTGTTATTTGTACCACTGTCGCTTGTAAAATATAGATAATGCGACTTGTATCGAACATCAGTATATTGTCGACCCCCGGAATATAGTGTAATTTCTTCTGTTAGACAAAAGTCGCATTTATCTTCATCACAGTCACAGCGGGTCACCGATCGCATACTTTAGTCGATGGGGAAATGAAATTCACATCAAATGATAGCTAATGACATTGCATGATATTATCATGATATTACAAGATAAACTTAGTTCGTAACAAATAAATCGCTGATGTACCTACCTGTCACAGGATGTAGTTCATCTCCGCCGGTTAAGCTTTACCTCGAGATAACTTGTTTGTGTAATACGTCACACAGACACACAGCGACCCGATGACGTGCATGCCCGGGCGTTCCCTGGACCTCGTGCGCTTGTAAACAATACGTACTAACTAATCCTGTCATACAGATATTATATCCTTAAATATAGGTTAAATTATCGTTTAAAATTATTTCTATTATAGTTGGTTTAAAGAAAATTATTATTAAATTCGAAATTCTTCACATAAGTCTGAACGCATTTTCATAATCTGGAACGAGGGTGGTGGTAGCAACAGCCCGTCAATCTCACTGGAATTTCGATCTGTACAGCCAGCTGAGAGACGCGGTAATTCAGCTGGGATTATCAAAAGGAAAGAAAATCGTCTGCATTCAAATAATCGGTAAGTTTGCGGGTGTTGTCTTGTGTTATCAGTGCTGGAATTCTGACAGTATGTATTGTTACCGACGACATTGGTTGACACCTGTTAGAAGTGAAATTACATTACAAAGTTGAAGTGAAGCAGATATTGAATGACAAATGAACAGCATTGTCGTACTTGGAGCTCCAGGGCGATGAATGGTGCGACCTGTGCTCGGGCAGTCATCAGTCATATGAACTTGATGACACTTGTATATAACCGGTGATATTCTTATATTTGTGTAATTTGTCTACTGAAAACAGAACTGCTGGGACCCCCTCCCCCTACACATACACACGCAATAGCAAGTAAATACTGAATTTGTACACTGAACATGAAGTGTTTTGCAGGGAGATCAAGTATACACGCACATACATATTTTTGATGTGATTTGTTTCTTGCCAAAAACAGAACCTGTTTGTTTTGTATAGAGTGAAGGGTGAAAAGTTTCTGGGAATTCTTTCTGAATTAAAGAAAGATGTGCACATTCACACTTCGTCTTGGCAGTTTCAAGGGCACATGGCAATTTTGATCTCTTGCACCAACCTCATTTCAAATTTTTATGAAAATTGATAAAGAATTGAAATGAAGTTTTCATTGGTTAGAGCAGTATTTTGGTAACACTCGTTATAATATACTCATGAGTGCCTACATCTTTTCACCAATTACACTACAGCCAGTTTGTGTGGAAGATTTACACATATTTTCAACAAATCAAATTCAGGTGGCATGTAAATTTTCATAAAGGCCACACTGACCATAGTGGAATTCGGGTTGCTAGTGACTTTCCTTGCAAATTTATAAACACAAATTAAATATTTTATATAAAAGATATTCATGGCTTTCAGTACAGTGAATTTCATGAAGGTGTGAATTTTTTTTTAAAGAAATTTATAAAATGTTCACCCTGTAAGACTCTTACCCTTCATTGAAATTCAAAGAATACACTTCCATTGGTTATACAAACTATTTGCCGATTTCCTGCATTTTGAAATTTATTAAATATTTTATATAAAAGAGATTCATGGCTTTCAGTAACGTGAATTTATTTTTCAAAGAAATTTATAAAATGTTTATATAACATTTATCCTGGAAGACTCTTGCGCTTCATTGAAATTCAAAGAATACACTTCCATTGGTTATACAAACTATTTGCAGATTTCCTGCATTTTGAAATTTATAAAACATTTTATATAAAAAAAAATATTCATGAAGCTCACTGTAATGCTTCGTATTAAATTGAAAACTATGCACATTAATATTTACAAATATTTATAAATGCATTCATCAGTTTATTTATTTGACATGGACTTTTGTAAATCTTTCACAGGTCGTGAGAATGACATTCTGTTTCTGGTGGACTCCAAGAACTCAACCCTAGCAGAGGAAAAGAAATGGCCATGGCAACTGCAGCACAAACCTACCAGAACTTAAAAGCCAAGCGAACACAGGCTGTTGCACCACGTACATTATTTGGAACTAACATTGAAATAAAAAAGAAGGGGACCTCAGCTGAAGCATATCCAACGCAACAAAAAGCCAGGAAGCCAACCAAGGCTGAACAGTATGTAAGATTTCAACAGCCTGAAGATGCAGAAACGCTGCGCTATAGTCAGTCTGACTATAAAAAGCAATGGCGAACAACAACTGATGCAAAAAGTAAATTTGATGAAGTTGAGAAAAATGCCTTGTATTTCCGTCCCAGTACTCATACTGTTGGATATCGTAGAAAAGAGGATCAATTCCGTCCGGCTCATATTACTGATAGAAATCCCTATAGGACTGATATCAAACTGTCTGCTACCGATGTTGCCCATCCGGAATTATTCAACACCATGGCTACGCGACCTAACTATAATTATGATCTGTATAGAAATCCCCAGTTGCGTGATAATTCTGATTACCAATTAATTGGCAATGTTTTTGGAAAGGGTGGTCAGTTCTCAGGTAGCCAAAGAACTGGTCATGGTGCTCGACACAATAAGGGCCAGGGAGAATACCATTCTCCCATCATACAGTCAAGTATTCGGGAGCCAAGGAGAAGTCTCCGTACCAGTAATAATGAACTACCACGGAATATCCGTCACAAATATGGCGGGCAGATTATCCATGATTTGCTTGGCGATGACAACGATATTGAGGAAGCATTGGTGGCTGTTGAAACACCAGAGCAGAAACGAGAGAGATTAGCCTCACAAAATGAAAAGGCTCGCAATAAATTTAGCCCTGGCTATGAAGCCCTGAGTAATCACCTACGCTACGATCACTTCTCGGGTGTTCCTCAAAGCAAATTACGTAGTTTGAACACAGATTCCTATACAGAAGATGCTTTCAAAAGAAATACACAAAATTATCCTCCAAAATTTGGCGTACAGAAGAATGCCGACAGTAAGTGTCTTTATGTACTTCCTGATTTGCCATAGCTCTCAGTTTATATACAGAACTGACAAAACAGTCAAGTACCATCCTGTAAAGTAATGTTTCACGTATTAGTTAAGTTTTATCAATCACTTATTAAGAAAAATGCACACTTAGCCTTTGTATTGGTTCTCTGCCACAAGAAATGTTGTTTCAGGCAATTTGTACCGAGTGGAGTCTTGGGGCACACAACAAATGTATTCTGCCTCCATGTAAATTATTTTTATGCAATTGTTTGAGGCCAAAACAGGTAAATATTGTATATACTGAGTAATTGTACTGGTACATGATATCTGTTTTTCTTAATCCCTTGAACGCGGTGGAATTTTCCATCGTCATTAAAAAATTTTAAAAAGGTTAAGCAGCTTTATTTTGTGAAAGGTGACAAATGTTGACTTTGATCACAGTCCAGAGGGACTGTGCTTTGATGTTTAAGTGGTTAAGGTAGTTCAATGTCAAATTTAATTTGTGCATGCGCATGTTACTGAGCATAGGACAAAGCGTTATCTAAGGGAAATTCCCATAAACGTATAGCAATAACTCACTCATTTTCATATTAGGATTCATATCAATAACCATATGGTACGTATGACAATGTCGCTTTCTAGATGCAATGCAAAAACAATAAAATAATAATTTCTCAAATTATTGTTTTTTTGAATGGCATGAACCCATAACATTCAATTTGTGATTTAGTTTTCAATTCTGTTTATACCCTCTTATTAAATAAGTTTTTTTGTTTTTTTTATAGTGAGATGCTTGTAACATCTTGATAGCAATATATACCGGTATAACAGGCTTGCATTACATGCAACTTGCATATAACCTATATTAATTACTATGCACTTTACTAGAACTGTAAAATCTGTATTAGAAGCCGCATCTCTAATATAAGTCGCACCCATTCCTTTTGAACAATTGAGAACTAAATATTCATCATTTCTCATATGTGTAGATGCTCTAATAGAAGCCGCATCCCCTCTGTTGCATTGTATCATTTTAATAGAAGCCGCAGCTTCTAATACAGATTTTTCAAAAATAGTCTTCTTTAGTTCATCAGACTTTTATTCTAGCACACATATGGATACGCTCCTTACCGTGATATCTTCTTATCTGTGCTGCAGCATTCTTAACTAATACTACTAACAAGTAGCTCTTTATACATGATATTGTTTATTTTTCTAATTCATAAGTTGCAAGTTAAGCAGAATTATGCAAATGATGAATGACTGAATTGTAGCATACACTAATTAGAGATTGAAATTTTATAACATTTTCTTCAATGAAAACCTGAAATTGTTATCTTGATTATTCCCTCCTCCCTCCCCATAACCAAAACTATTTTTTTTTTTGTACTGATCCACTGTTTTGGATAAGTTTTCTCCAAACGTTTCCATACAAGTTATCATCTAGGTTCCGTTATCAATGTCATGATGAATTTCTGTGTTTTTTTTTTATATGTAATCAGGCAAATGGAATGAAGATAATGTTATTCGTGACCGTTTGAAGAAAGCATGGGATGCCACTATCGGCAAACCTAAAGAAACTCCGGGAATGTACGTTAATTTTTTCTGCATGAAAATGTCATTCCTTAAATTATTATAATACTAACAATCACGATTAAATTAAGAGAAGAGTTTGATTTTTCAGTCGTATTACAAAATAAGAAGAGTATGGCTGCCAGTCGGCAGACAATCGATCATTCAAACCCACTGCATTTGATTAAAATTCACAAGGACATTTGAAATTATGCACTACGCTTAATCCAGCCATGCCCAGCTGGACAGTTTATTTACACCTGCCTTTCTTTGTTACTAATATCCTGGTAGGTAATGAAAACTCAAAATTTATGGTAAAACCTTTTGAAGACCATTGTAACGTTATATGTCTCTCGTTATTAGTTCTTTTCATACCTTTGTTCAGTTTAATCAATACAGTCCCCATAGTTGTTGATTGTTCTCATTCTTTCTAATTTCCACTTTGACATCAACAATAAGCATTGCTCAACTGCACAAATTGATTTATATATTATTTTTTTCTTGCAAGCCAGGCAAAAACAGGATCCCGAAGCTGAAACATCTGATGTGTGTTTTTTTAGTGATCTTTAACAATTATTGTGTGTGCTTTGAATCTTGCTTCCTTATATATTGCATCATTTTATAGTTTGAAGTTGTGCTATGTGCTGGTTTTCTTTGCTTGCCGACTCTTTGCATGGTGTCGTTCATTTTTCATGTCTTCATAAAACGTAATTCTAGTGAAAGGAATAAATCAGGGTGATGGGAATAGACAAGCTGTACAGTTTATTTATCTGTTCTCTCAGAGTCTTGATTCAAAATTATGCTGTGATAAAATTGGTTTTAAGAAAAAAATATTTTGGTCCATACACAGTATTTTAAAACGTCCATTCCTTATTTCATGTGCTGCTTCCTGTGCATTTCTTTCATTGCTATATTGTACATGATCCAGGAATTGATGAAACCCAACCACAATCAAATTGATAATAAAATAGGGGTGACAATTAACTTTTCATGCAATTAAACTATATTACAAATTATATTACAACCTAATTATTAATAATTACAATGCTGAAGTATGTTTATTAATTATGAATATAATTAATCTAACCAATTTCACAACTGTGATTCACATGTACTAGTATTTCAAGTGTTGGATATTTAGTATAGGTTTTGTGTTGAACATAGATGGTTCGATCATCGGTGAATATTGGTTTGCATCTACCGTGTGTGATTTACCCGATTCCCACAAACAATATTCCTTGTTCAGCACGTATCTGAACTGTGTTTGTTGTGATTTCCCATCCCCCTTGCCTTGCTATATGAGCCACATCTCAATTATTCATATTTTCTTTATTTTAAAATTTCTTGTAGGTAATTGGGCCGAGCAGAACGTGCTCCGTGACAGAATGAGAAGAGCATGGGGGCTTTACGAAGAGAGCAAACCGACATTGTTACCCAACTGGGACCGAGATAAAAAGCGTGATAAACCTCCAGAGCCACCACCACAGCCTAAACCTAAACCTAAGAAAATAAAGCACCCACCTCCTAAAGAGGAACCACCACCACCACCTCCTCCAAAAGATCCAACTCCTCCTCCTGCTCCTCCTCCAAAAGATGATGCATTCTGGGAATTTTACAACCAAGGCATGTAGCTCAGTTGAAATCACTTAAATTATAAGAATAAATATAACTGACTCAGTGGTCAACATTTACCGCAATAATTTCTTTCTGATCACACAACTTGATTTTCTCTTGAAAAAAGACATTGTACATATTTCTATATATGTACAGACATGTTGATAATGCATGTGAACATATATGTACTAGTATGTCACACAATCATGTCAGAGTCTTTGTCAACTCAGTTGTAACCATGACTCAACATCCGTCCATTTGAAACAAATAATGTATTACATTTAAGATGAGTATTTTTTGATAACTTTAAGCCAGTTTTTGCAATGAGCTTTGATGCTAATGAATTGGTTTCTACACTCTGTGTGATATTTGGTTTGTCAAAACAATTTCTTAGAGTGCCTTAATTAAAAATACAGTCTAAGCACACGACTTGTATATGATATATGTGTATATATGATATATAAATATTTATTATCTTATATATGAATTTATTTAATTTCTTGAGTGATCAGTTTTTGCACCATGAACTACTCAAATGCACTGATTGCAGTGTCTCATAAAAAAAATATAAGCACACATGAACTAGCATTTTCACTATTTCATCAAACGAATACTGCTATGTTTGTCAGTTACTGGTATATTATTTTTTTAATGAAAAAATACTACCTTTTTATTTAATGGGAAATATCAATCAAAAGTATTTAAACATACTCACAATTTCTTACAAGTTATACACATAGCTTCTACAAACAATATTATTCTTTCCATTATTAAATGAAGTTCAAAATTGAAATATATTGACAAAATATATGAATATCTGCATGCCAGTTTCACAAATACCTTTTCTCTTAGCTTACCGGTAAAGTTGTATTGTCAGCAATATTTTGTTGAAAGTTCTTGGGCCAAAATACAAACTAGAAAGTTATTCAATCCACTAGCTATCATAACCAAAACCAGATATATTTTGATAGGTATCGAATTCTATTTTAGGTGTGTGCTAAACACAGCTATCGGTAACCCTAGAAGTATGTATGTAATGCTCCGAGTATACTCAGACACACTTGCAACACGAGTAAAAAAAGAAGTCATTCTATAAATTCTATCGAATTCTATTTTAGGTGTGTGCTAAACACAGCTATCGGTAACCCTAGAAGAATGTATGTAATGCTCCGAGTATACTCAGACACACTTGCAACACGAGTAAAAAAAGAAGTCATTCTATAAATTCTAAACCAGGCTGTACAAGAAATAAATTCATTGAATTTTTATTTTGTTCCAAGACGTTTTTAAATTTTCAATTAGAAAATCTCACACACAATTCAGTGACTCGATGGCTCCATGATACTGAAAATTGAATCACAAAATAATCCACATAAATGCTTGGTTAATTTTGGCCATAGGCGAGTAGCTTCTGACTCGGATATTTGTGAATATTGCAGCTGTTGAATCTATTTTTTGACAATATGGTATATATGCCGTGAAACAATTTTAATTGAAGTCGCTGTTGAGTGCAAAATATTTATTCGTACGCTCTCAGAACACTGATGATAATTTATTCTTATATGTATATAATCAATATGGTGATTTTGTCTATTTGACTGATTCATTCTGAACTTTACAGATCCAATAATCTTGACAAGTTTAGGCTTTGGTAAGCAAAATCTTTTACCATCACAATCATGGCATGTACATTTATTTTAACTTTAATTTTTTGTAAAAACACCTGAAACTTCACAATAGCCTTGCAGGTGAGGGAAAACTGGGTTATTCTTTTTTTTCTAGAATGATCAATTCTTAAAAATGTTTAAAAGTATGAAAATGAAAATTGTTTTGCATCTGACGAAACTAAATTAAAAACTTAACTGTAAAATAAACTGCAAATCAAAAGTATGAAATATTAGCGATATCTATATATTATAGCACGATTACTGTAAATAGATTTAATTTGACGAGAAACATTTTCTTCTAGCGAACACAATAAAATCAGGAAAATTATCTGTTATAAGAAAAACCAAGTTTTGTAAATATTGAGTATCCATTGTGAGATGTATTTGAAAATACAAATAAAGTACTGTGGAATACTTTATTTTTGCTGGAATTAATTTCCCTGAAAAAGCTTTTTGGGCGTTTTGTATGGAATTTATTTTCACTGATTTTTGCCGAGTTTAATGTGAAATATAGGAAAAAAAGTATATTCGCTGGATTTTATTTTCACGGAATCATCCCTTCAGCAAAAATAAATTCCAAGTGAAAATAAAGTATTCTACAGTATATTTCAACTAAATATAAAAACAAAAGAATCACTATTTACATTATAGATGGATATTGTATACTAGTATTTTATAAGTCACTTTGTTTTCTGCAAGTATCAACAGTGTCCGTACAACGCAACATTTTGAATTATAGCACTTATGCACAACTTATGAAAAATACTATGCAATCAACCTTTTTGACATTTGGAGGCTTCTTGCAAACATTTCGCACTTCTGTATTTGATAGGAGAAACAACATTTCAGTGTACTACTATTTGTCAAATCAGAAGTAACAGTTTTATAATTTCTTGAATGTATGAACTTTTATACCCTTTTCAATTTCATACTTTTATTTTATGAGTGAAAATAAAAATCTTTCAAATGCATCTTTGTTTTAATTATTTCATTCTCAACTATTTAAATGACTGTACTTCAAAAAGAGGCAGGCTATACGTATTCTATTTACTCTTCTCTCTTCAAAACAAAGTTCAATTCGATGATGGCATTTGAACCCTTCCAAGCTTCTATAATCTGTGATGGTATTGTTTAACCGATACATATCCTGTGGATATCAAAGTTGTATTTACTTCATAAATCTTTTGTACAAGTCTTATTGTTTTGGTTTTTTTGAAAATAGAAAAAGAAATGAAACATTGGAAATAATGGAATGATCAAGACTTGTATCCTAGGTTTCTAATCAGTGATACTTTATTTTAGCTGGATTTAATTTTTGCCAAAAAGACTTCTGCATTGAATTTATTTTCACTTATTTTTGACAAGTTGAATGTAAAAAAGGTTTATTCGCTGGATTTTATTTTAACTGAATCATTCCTTCAGCGAAAATTAATTCCAAGCAAAAAGAAAGTATAGGCATTTTACAGTAAATCGAATCTACTTCTGGAATAACAAGATTAAACCAATCAGAAACCATGCTGCGTAATATGCAGATAATATTGCATTTTATAACAGAAAGAAAACTACCATCTCCTTCATTTTTTTATTTTCTGTTCAAACTGTTATTGTTAAACGTTTTGCAATGTCATAAGGTTACAGTATGCATTGGGAAAAATAGGTTACATAAAACTGAGTGACTATCAGCAACAGGTTTGTTACCTAGTTTGCTGAAAGGTCAGACACGTGTTTGACTGTACCATGCACCAGGTTGCAGACCGTGTTCCATAAAAACTGGCCATGTGATATGCAAATTGCAGCTCATGAATACTATAACAACTCAAACTTCACACTATTAATTATGTTCACCATTTTCATCCTTTTTATTGTCCAAAAAAACAATAGGACTTTTAAGCAAGTCTGATGTAACAATAATAAAATAATAATTGTAATATTTTAGATGAGCCTAAACTAGACTCTAGAATAACAAATTAGTAATTTCAAATTTATTCCATAGTTTTACAAGTGACAAAATTCTATATTTAATTTTATTGTCATTACAATATTTCACACAATAATTGCTAATAAGTATATTACATAATCTATATACTAAATCTCTCTGTAGTAAATATTTTGAACAAATGAAATTTGATTTGTACCGACAAAAAATCGTTGGGGGAAGTGAAAAACTACATCGTTCTGTCAGGCGTGTGTTGGGTTTGGAGCACCGCGGACGGCGTAACTCACGTGACCTTGTGTGCAGTCGTATGTAAATAATTTCATTACGGCAAAGAATAAATGAGTAATCTATTTGAAAATAGAAATATGTAAATATGTAATCACACGCCCCAATTCCTCTGATTATAATCTGTAATCCATTGACGATGGTATGGTAATCACGTTTAAGACAGATTTCACACTATGAATAGCAGCATATGTGGGCCTAATGTGTTCGTTTATTTACATATTCAAAGGAAAACCACTATGGCGACCCTGCCCTTTCATATATAATTGAATCTGTATGTTTGTTGTTTACAAACAAGCATCTACACATGAGCCTTGTTATCGAGACTCAATTTCCATATGGCTGGTATATTGAAAAAAAATGATAAATAACTAGCTCTGATTATTTGCAGTAAAAGTAGTGAGTAACATAAAACATCACAAATTAAATAATTAGCAATATTCTAACAAAAATACTATTGCTCAGAACATAAAAATAAACTTATGTTTCAGCCAAACAGTGTAATGTTGTTACGATCCAACCAGTTCTGTTTATGTCAGTAGTCACAACTCGATCCATGAACAAGCGATATTCGGCGATAATGTCCGAGGGTGTCAGGGGACACATATTCACAGTTACATTCATCAACAGTTATCAATATCGGATACCCAATATCTTATTTTCTAACAATGTCAGTAACAATGTCAAAAAATCATATCCATGTGATAAAAAACTGAAAACTGAAAGTGTTAATATATTTAGATTTTATGTATTTTATGTTTGGGACATCATCACTAAAATGCCGCTAATTTGGCTGTTTGACCTTTTCGAACACTGGTAATCTTATTTTATAATACAGTGTGGATATTGACCGCCGTGAATATCGTGCAAATGTGTAGACCACAGTAATTGTGTGTTAACTGCGCTTTGTCCTGCGTTATCAGAATTTCCGGAGAATTACATTGGCACAACACAGCATTCTCATTGGTTAATAACAGACTTGACCTATTAGGTCAAAGGACGTTGTTGCAGGTAATGTCTAATCACTTGGATGACTCAGTTCATAGAGCTGCTCTGCCAACTTCTCTATTCTATCATGGTATTCTACATTCTGAAATATATATCATAATCAATAGGTTCATGCAAAACATTCCACTTGTCATGTAGGACATTACTTACTGTAAAATACTTTATTTTAGCTTGAATTAATTTTCGCTGAAAAAACCTTTTGTATGTTTTGTATGGAATTTATTTTCACTAATTTTTGAAATGGTGAATGTAAAATATAGGAAAACAAGTATGTTTGTTAGATTTCATTTTCACCGAATCATCTCTTGCGTGAAAATTAATTTCAAGCGAAGTATTTCACAGTATAACGCAATGTAGAATATTACATATAACATCATGTAGAACATCAAACACATGTTCATCTAGAACTTTACACATAAGGTAGTACAGAACATTACATTATAATGTTTAGTAACATGTAGTGATATGGCATTTGCTGTATGCGGACCAAATTTGTGGAATGCCCTACCAAAACATGCAAACAAATTTGAAAACTCATTTGTTTAAGAAAGCATGTAATTTGTAATTATTCTTTCTTTGGGACAGTTTGTAGTTTTTACGCCATGCGCTCTTAATCAGTTATTACTGTAAATAGATACAAGTAAATTATTATTATTATTATTATTATTATTATTATTATTATTATTATTGACACCATTACACATAACACCATGTACAACAACACAATGTAAAACAGTACACATAAGTTCATTTAGAACATAACACAGAACACAACGTACAACATCACAATGTGAAACATTACACATATATTCATTTAGAACATTACACATACCTCCATGTGCAACATCACAATGTAAAACAGTACACATATATTCATTTAGAACATTACACATAACACCATGTACAACATCACAATGTAAAACATTACACATATATTCATTTAGAACATTACACATAACACAATGTACAACATCACAATGTAAAACATTACAAATAAGTTCAATTAGAATATTACACATAACACAATGTACAACATCACAATGTAAAACATTACACATATATTCATTTAGAACATTACACATACCTCCATGTGCAACATCACAATGTAAAACAGTACACATATATTCATTTAGAACATTACACATAACACCATGTACAACATCACAATGTAAAACATTACACATATGTTCATTTAGAACATTAAACATAACACCATGTACAACATCACAATGTAAAACATTACACATATATTCATTTAGAACATTACACATACCTCCATGTGCAACATCACAATGTAAAACAGTACACATATATTCATTTAAGAACATTACACATAACACCATGTACAACATCACAATGTAAAACATTACACATATGTTCATTTAAGAACATTAAACATAACACCATGTACAACATCACAATGTAAAACATTTACACATAAGTTCATTTAGAACAATACACAGAACACAATGTACAACATCACAATGTAAAACATTACACAT